TATATATATATATGCATACATATATATGTATATGTTACGAAATATAGTACACCGGACAAATAGTCAGAAATCGGCAATCAAAAACCAAGAAAAAATATATATATATATATAACAAAATTTTGATATTGTTGAAGTTGAAGAAAATATAGGTTACCTAAGAGAGAGACTTTTCAGTTTTATCTATGCAAAACATGTTATGTAGGGTTTATGACTCCAAAAGAAGTCTGAAACTGGTGAAAAATAGTTGAGATTCGGAAGTTGAAAGCTGGCCACCCATAAGTATTGGGTATGCCAAGCTTAGATCACAACAGCTCGTCTCTTTCACGTATCAATTTCTATTACTTATGTAGATACTTGGCGAAATCTAAGTCAATTATTTTGCAGGATTTTTTTTTTTTTTTTTAAGTTTCAACAGTTAAGGTACTCACGATAAATAATTTTTAGGGTATTTGGAGATTAATTTCAAGATTAACTCCTTCCTATCCTATCTTAAAAGCGCACTCCCTCATCATTTTATATATATAGGAGATTAATTTCAAGATTAATACCTTCCCTTTTTTTTTTTTTTTGAACAAGGACAAATGGGGAAAGGGGAATAGGGAGACTGTTAGTACAGCGGTTAGAACCTTAGCATTTGTCAAGAGTTTAGTGCAGTCGGACCAATGCAGCCAAAGCTGTGGGTACAAGATTAATACCTTCCTATGCTATCTTAAAGGTGCACTTTCACATCATTTTATATACAGTATAGTTTATGAGAAAAGAGAAACTTATCTTTACGTTAATTAAGTTAATGAATTGCGGACGCATTAAGTCCAAATAACAATTGGGTTTTATGGGCTGCATTCTATACTGCTTAGAAGCTGCTTTGAAGTTAATTAACTCATGTAAGAATGCATAATACCATTTTATAGCCCAATATCCTGCTTCAGTACAAAATTACAATTCGTACGATTCTTCTTAATGAGCTCTAGCCCAGTTCAAGCCCATGTATACAAACCCAGTTCAAGCCCATTTATACAAACCCAGTTCAAAACCTCCCATTGCTCCCAAGGCTCCCAAGCAGTAAAGTTTTGGCTGAATCCCAAATCTGTCGTGCAAATAGAGCGTTAAGGATAAATTTGTTTATGAAAAAAAAAGTAAGGATATATTGTCCCTTTAAAACGTTGATAGAAACAAATGATTCATTATTTAATAGCTAATATCATTACATGTCAAGAATTTGTTTGCTATTTAAACCTTTCTTTAATTGAAAGTTGAAGTGTGATGACATTAGTCATTAAATAATGAGTCATTTGTTTCGATTAACAATTTAGAGGATAATTTGTCACCCCTATATGTAGAGTGAATTTAAGGGTTTGGCCATAATGTTTATACAACCAATTTTTTTTTTAATCATGAATTTAAAGTATAGGTAAGTACAAAGTGTATATATATATTTTATATTATTTTGGATTGCACAATAAGACATTCCTCTCATATTACTTTGTTCACCTTACACGTATGTTAATAATTTGAATTTATAACCTCTTGCTTTTGCTGGAAAAGAATTTACCATTAAGAGCATGTTTGGGTTAGCTTATAAGAGATCTTACTTTTTTTATACTATTCATGAGTGGTTAGTTTAAATTTTTATTGGAATAAAAATTTAAAAATTACTTTTAGAGATAGAAAAAAATAAGTAAGAAGAGAGTTTATGAAAAACTTAAATTTGAAGTTTTTGAGTTTTTACTTTTTAAAGACTTTTTAAGGTTAAATTTTTTTTTTTTAAATGTAAGTTTTTAAAAGGAAAATTTTAACTTATGAAATATAAATAGTGTCAAAAAGCTGAAACACTTGATAACTGAACCAAATATGCTCTAAATCACTTAACTTATTAGAAGTATATATGGTATTAATAGCAACTAAGTACAGTACACAACCTAAAAGAGCTTTTTTGGTTTGAGAAAATGACTCATATACAATGTTTTTGCATATACTAGTATGTATGATATGAATTGGGATTATATAATTTATAGGTAATATTATACACATATAGTCGTATAATATCACATTATATCATTTCCCTCTTGAATTTTCCAGGCAAGCTTAATGATAGAAGTATAGGTGCCAGATGAACTTCCTGCTAAGCCGCTTTTCTATTACCCTCCAACAAACCATCCTGTTCTTTTCTCTTGCAAAAGTTCAGCGCATGGCCTGCTTTAAAAGTACCAGAAGGGAAAGGCAATCATGTTATTGAATCAGGAACATCCAGTGGTGGGTAAAAGTTTTATTCAATACTAATATCTTGATATTTAAAAGTTATATTGGATCCCATTAATTTAGAATTAAACTGCCTTGAAACCCATAAAGAAGAAAACTATTCTAGCGCTTGTTGCTCAATTTATAAGATTTGACCTTAAGACCTTACTTAAAGAGAGTTTAATTCCTTCTACTTGGATCAATAGATTGTTAGTAGTAGTGGATAAAAGTTAAAACACATCAAACAAGGCTATCTAGATTTAAAGATAAATTTTCAATAGGAATTTCCATGACCTTCAAAATTAGTGGTTTATTTAGTACTTGTAGACAAGATAGTTTATGGATATTTGTAGAATTAATTGAACTAAAAATTAAATACTCACGTTATTAATATATATATATATATATATATATATTTACCAAAGAGCTTAGTGGTTTAAGTTTGATGGTATAGACTAATGGGAATGGAGTAAACCAGGCCGGATCGGCAATAAGCCAATAACCACCCTTGTACTAAGTACTAACTATAAAACCATAACTTTGTGTTTTTTTTTTTTAACAGTGTACAATTTTGGGGAATGGGGAATAGGATTTTCAAAGTGTCGGTGGGACTCAAAACCCCGACTAACAAACTCAAACGCTTAAAAGTTTGAGATGAATTACTAGAACTTAAATGTTATGTTCAAATCACAATTGTGCATTAAGATATGAGATTCAAACTTTTTTAATTTTAAATACTTAACTTTCGATACACCACCAACAACATAAACTTACTTGGGATGTATATAGAAAAAAAGAATGCATACAAATCTTTCTTGTAGATTTTTTTCCAAAAAGAAATGCATGTGAATTTGAAGAAAAAGGTGTTCCCCTTCTCTTTCACATGAATCAATTCCACGTTTACCCCTTTCTTTGGGCAAACAAGAGAAGAGAATCAAATCAAAACCCTTTTTCTATCTTGAATTGGTGTGAATGCCATGAAAAATGGTGGTCAAAGAAAGGCCAAACCAAAAGGGAAATATCAATTCAATAAATAAAATATGAAGGTTGCATCAACCTAACTAAATAATTTAAGAGTAAAGAATTGGCTGGTGCATAGTGGGATCTTACCAGAAAAGCAAACTTGGACTTTCAGATGATGGGACCGTGGCCCAAGCAATCGCGTGACCATATTATACATTTCACATTCACAACAGATTGAAGAATCGGTCAAGTAAAGTTGTCCCTACTCCTCTAGTCCCTAGCACCTTCAACATGACATGTGATGCCAAGTTTAGGCATAAACATTCATCTCATATATCGTCCAATACCCATTTTCTCTTCTCCTTTCCTCCTTTCTAATGATTGTATTAGCACAAATGCCCCCGAGGAGTATTTCAAATCTCAACTAAAGCTCTAAATGAGTTGAGCTACTTGACTTCGAGAGTGTAACTCACAAATTCAAACCTGACTCATGAAAAAGAGCTCAAGCTGTGAACTCAAACTCAACTCGTTATTGTAGCTTCAGGCCAAGTACTAACTTAACTCGATTTACTCATTTAGGGCCCTAGTCTCACCTTCTAAGAACCGAGACTTCAAATAAGTATGAACTTTTAGATATATGAAAAAATTATATATACAGCCCATTATCAAATAGAGTAGAGTGTACAATCATCCTTGTTTTATCTCCACTTACAAAATCATAGGAAATACGCCAAAATTCAAATCTTAATTCATATTTGAGCAAGAATGCAATTTTTTTCTGCTATATAGAGAAGATAAATCAGAAATTTCCTTAAAAATTAAGAACTAAAAATTTCTCAATATAATTAATTACAGGAACTAATAATAATGGGTGGAATGAGAGGCAGTTAGGATCCCTAGGGTGGGTTCTAGCTAGAACTCAAACTAAATGTAGGCAACCAACTGCAGACCTAAGAAAGTTGCAGGAAGACTTGAACCTTCTAAATCAAAATGGGATTACAGGCTTAGACAGACAAAGAATTCTTGGAGTTCGAACTCGGGATTACTGTGGTGACTGAGCAGCAAGACCGAGCCATGACTTGCCATCTGCTGGCTTGGAAAGAGATGCTCCTGTCTGGTATGGTGCTCTTGTGGTGATCCTGAAAAATGGAAACATCAATATATCAACTCAAAGCACAAAACTAGTTTGACCCATGTTTTGTAACAAAGAAAATTCACTTTTGTCATAACATGATTCTGCCTGAACCAATACAATGGTTCATGGTGCCGATCACCATGAAAAAGCACAGATCCTAAACCCATATCCACATTCCATACCCATATATGTCAACTTTTTAATACATGGATCAAAAGAAAAGAAACAACGGGGCCCGGAATTTTGACTCCACTTCTATAGATGCTTAGATCAAAAGAAATGACAACAAATTTTTTATTTAGATGCCTACCTATCTTTTCTCTTCTCCAGGAAGCGGTGAAGTGAAGCTCTCCTTTTAATTGGCAGATCTGCAAATACATACAACATAATGCATAAGAGACTGTGTCAAAAACATGGAAACAGAAAGCAAATAAATTCAATCAATTTCAAGAGGATTACCACAAACAACTGGTTGAGATGGACCTAGTTGAATGCTATCTTGCTTCATATTGTTGCCAAAACTAGGAATGGCATTTGAGGCCGGAGGAATTCCATTACAGGACTCAACTGGACTACTCTTGGCCAGATTCGTAGGGAAGCTGTTGTTGCTCCGAGTCTGAGAGCTTCCCTGACCTGCTAGTTGCATGATTTCCTTGGCCTTATCAGCCGGAAAATCATTGAAGACAATCACTTGCCCTCCATAAAATATAGTCATCTCAGCAGTTTGAGGCTGCTCCACCTTAACACTCCTGTAAATCAAATAATCAAAAACTTATCAGTAACCAAGCATTTCCCAACCCTGTGATGATAAAATAACCAATTTTACTACAATTCAACTCACCTGGTATCATCCATTTTCAGGCCTTCATCCTTAGACACAGGAAATGAAAATCCAGCCTGTTGGGGAAACAAATCCATGGATTTCATGCTCCAAGGAGCTTCTGCAATGTTCCAGGCATAGACATCACTGGGCTTCTCCTTGACTGGAAACAAATTCATGGTTGTTGCCGGCGGCTGTCTCACTATGGCTGGACCGCCTGCTGCATATGGATACATGCAACGAAACATTAGACTCAAAAGAACTTGAAATGCTTCCCAAATTAGCATATGTTCCGAAGACAACAATTTGGTATTTATACTCAAAGTACAATGATCTAAGACCAACAGAATTGAGAGATTTCCTCAACAGAAATTTCAAGTACAAAAAAACATTCAAAACCCATTTTCATAAAACACGAGTAGCATAAGAGAAATGAAGATTTCAAAATTGGAAGGAGAGAAAAAAGGATGGGTTTTTGAACAATTATTAAGCAGAAAATGTCAAGAAAATTAGATTTTCTCGGATCTGAAAAATTAAAGAAGCGAAGATTTCAACGGGGAAAAGAATTAATTAAAACGTGCTAAAAAATTAAAAAAAAAAAAAACAGATCTAAACCCCAAATCTGCTATTTATTCTCTACAATTAATAAAAGTAAAAATCATGTTGGAAACAGATTCTGATTTTCTCTTGCCTCCCCTGTTTTTCTCAGCATCCAAACAGAAAAAAAAAAAATCAGAAAAACAAATGAAAAATAAACTAACCGTTTGCTTCAACGTTGCATTTCATTCCGAGATTCAGATCTCCGAAACTGCCTTTCTCCTTCAAGTACTGACTCAACAAACTACAAGTCTGCGTAAACCTCGGCTTCTCCGGCAACCTCGCCGGTTTTTGCCCGGAAAATTCAGAGGAAGAAGACATGGTCACCGGCGGCGAACTTAAACCCAAAAGACGGTTAAAATCGAAATCGTTTAATATGGATTTCTCTGTGTTGAGAGTTATATATACCTAGGAAATGGAAGGAAGGGAAAGATATATATTTTTCAGGGGAGGGAGATGGAGAGATAAAAAAGCACGAGGAATACATGGGGGTTTTTAAGGAAGCAAGTTGATGTTTTTTTTTTGGAATTTCAAACACGTGTTCTTTGCGTTTCTCGACGACGATGTTTGCGTTAATGATGTCTTAAAAGAATCGGTTAGGGATTCTTTTACGGTTTTGCCCCTATTGGTGGGGTTGTGTTTGTTTGTTGGTGTATGGTTAACTTTATGCCCATGTGAGACTTAGAGGTGTGTACAAATTCATCCAAATTTAAAAACTTAAAAAAGGAGAAAGGACCAACCGGGCTAGGCTCAATACTTGGTCCCAAGCATTGAGGTTTAGATGAGGCGGAGGTTAGGTTTCGAATTTTACTATTGTCGTAAACTCTATCAACTTGTAATTTAATGGCTGCACGCCTCATATGAGGGATGAGAATGTTCATCATTTTGAAAAATTTCAACTGCTAACAAACTAACACTAGTAACTTTCTAACCATTATCTTATCAAAAAAATAAAAGAGAAGGAGAAGAAAAGAAATCACAATTGAGTTTTCTGTACTAGAACAAGTTCAAACCCTTAGAACAAGTTGTTAACTTTTGATGTATTAAAAAAGATCTTGTGAAATTTTAATTTTAAGGAGAATTTTTTTAAATTTCAATATAAATTTTTAATTTTTTTTTGATATTTTTAAAAATGACCATACTGATGTGGCACTTGGGGTTGGGCCCTATGGGAATTTGTACAAGTGGCACGTAAGCATGAGAATTGCGTAAATCACTAAATAACAAAAAAAGAAAAAAGTAATCAAGAGTCACATACGAATTTCAAAAAAAACATTGGAAATTTCAATAAAGGAAATCAAGAACCACAACACATAGCATTGCCACAAAAGGCATTAAGCCACTTTGACGAACCTCATGCAAGAACTTGGAGACACATCAAGAAACTTGATGATGTATTTTCTCACTAGTCCATTAACTACATAAAGAAGGCCCCATTGATTTTAACATAATTCTTATTCCAAACACTAAATCTCATTTCCAAAGCCTTCTACACCCTTCACTAGAATATTACTTGTTTGAGTGTCAAAGTACACATTTTGAAGACAACCTCTAGAACTTACTCTAATAAGCCTTTCTTTTTCCTACACATAAGTTTCAATAGCAATTTCTAGTAAGGTAAAATTTGCACATATCAATTTTACATAAGGGTAAAAGCAAGAAATAAAATGATCTAAATATGATATTCAATTTGGACAATGATAAGCTCACCCTTTGAACCCACAACCTTATTTACACACAGTCAATTCTAAAAATAAAATAAGATAGTCTCCCTTGACAAGCTTATCCCTTGCTTGTCTAGCACAAATCACTTATTGGAAACACTTGAATCGATGAGATTTAGCAATCCACATCGAGTCTTCACCCAGATTACCCATCTATGAATCCCCCCTTCATTTAAAAAGCTTTTAGAAGAAATCATCCAATGCTATCATCACTAATCTCCAATCAATTTGTTCTCCTAAAACAATCGAAGAAAAATCCAATTCAATGATAATTTGCTTATAAATTCAAACAAACCCAGAAAAATATGAGTGATAAGCATTGTTCTTGGGTTTGACTTAAACCTAGATATTGGGTTCGTCATGAACCAAGCATGAATCTAAGTGTTGGGTTTGATTTGAGCCTTGATTTGGGTTCGATTTAAATCTAGGTGTTGCCAAGAACTTGTTTGTTTCAGTAGGCAGAAAGAGAAGGAAAAAGAGAGGGAAGGGGAAGAAAGTTGAGAAACTGGTTTTAAATTGTCGAAGAGAGAGATGGAGAGATAAGAAGAAAAAGGGGTTTTGTGAGGAAGAAGATGGCTTTAAAGGTAAATTTGTAATTTTGATTTTACAATCTATTTGGATGCATGAATAGGCCAAAGGTCCATGGATAGCTACAGAGCGAAGGCTTTAGGGAAATGTTTATTCTATGGAGTGTGCACCGTTAAGTGTCAAACCAATGGGCACATGAATTATTTTCCTTTTAGCTTAACTGTTTTAATCTAATACAAATGTGTATCAATTGAATCTCCAAATTTCTAAGTGAACTCAATTATAAAACTACACTATTTAACGCTTCAAAACAACTTCCTATAATTTATTGGAACTTACTAACTCCATCATCACTTTGCTTTCTTTATTTTTTTCGCTATTCTTCCTTTACTATTTCCTAATTTTGATGATTCTAAGTGAAGATCTCAAGGAAAAAAATTGAAGAAGAGTATGGTTGAAATATAGTTCTAGCCATGCTTTAAAATGTGAAATGACATCATTTTTTAATTGAGTTTGCTAAAAAAATTTAAAACCCAAACTAATACATACTTTGTCAATAAAATATAACTCCTTTCCATTTACTCATTCCAATTTTCATATGTTGTAAACGTATGACCATTTATTAGCAATCGTGTATAGCAAGTAGTTAGTTTCTCATTTAAAAAGAAAAATAAACACTCTGCTTTAAGTTTCATTAGTAGAAGTATCTTCTTTATCACTAAAAATAGCCAAACACGAAATATTCCTTAATGACATGTGTAGTTAAGCCCACATGGGACAGGCACATGGCACATGACATAGAACATGGAGGGGCAATAGTGTAAAACAGGAAACCTGAACCTCCTCCATTAGTAAGGTGAATTACTTTCTTGTCCTGATGGGAAACCACGTGAAGCATAACGGCGTTCGGTGTGGACTGAGTCGACTGACTATACGCTTTCAAATGTGCCGTCGCGCGGATAGCAAAACGACCGAGGTGGACCCCAATGGCCCCACAACAAACACCGCCTCCTTCCTATCTTTTCTTTTTTTTCGAGCTGTGTCCTCCCACTTTCCTTTTTCTCTTTTTACCATATTATAAAGGCAAAACCATAAGTTAAGCCCCTGAACTAATCCCAGAATCGCTATTAAGCTCCTAGACTTTAATTGATACAGTTAAGCCCTTGAACTCTGGGATCAAAGCAATTAAGCCCTTCTTCTTATGCTGTTAAGCCCCTAGACTTTAATTTTTAAAATAAATTGCTTAAGAAGAAGGGCTTAATTGCTTTGATACCAGAGTTCAAGGGCTTAACTGCATCAATTAAAGTCTAAGGGCTTAATAGCGATTCTGGGATTAGTTCAGGAGCTTAACTTATGGTTTTGCCTATTATAAAGTACAAAAAGTGAAAATAGGAAGGATTGATATTAAAATTGTTAAATTATTTAATTATAATTATTATTTAAGTAATGATTCATTTAAATAATAATTATATCTTATTTAGATGATAATTATAATTAGATGTTTTGATAAATTTAATATTAAGATGTCTTATTTTTTGTATATTTTTATAAAGTATATGTTAAGAATATAATAAATATATATTTTATAAAATTTAATTTAAATTAATTAATTAATTAAATTTATCTATTTAATATTAATATTAATTTTTATATATTTATAATAAAAAAAAAATTCTACATGTGTGAAAAAAACTCAAATTCAAATAGGATCTCTCCTCCTTGCTTAAGGAGGGAAAATGAGAGAGGCTTTAAAATAAGTGGAAAGGAAGGCAGTGATTGCAGAGTTGTTAATGAATGT